GGCTGTGGAGGCTCCTTCTCTGGAGGTCTTCCAAACCCACCTGGATGCCACCCTGTGCCCCGTGCTCTGGGTGTCGCTGCTGGAGCAGGGGGTTGGTCACGATGATCCCTAGAGATCCCTGCTCGCCTCGGCCGTGCTGTTGGCTCTGTAGGAAGTGCCGGAACAGGGGTTTGGGAACGTCGCCCTTGTGTTTGGGCTGTTGCAGAGCCCCGGGGTGCACCGAGGGGTTGGCAGCAGGGAGGAGTGGAGCCCCTTCAGCTCAGGGGTCGGACGCAGCCTCGGCCAGGCCCTCCCAGCGTCACCCGAGACAGACGCACAGGGTCTGTGTCCCTGGGGAGGCGCTTTGGGCAGCGCAGCGAGGTCAGAGGGAGCTGCTTCCCCCAGGGACGGGGCCCGCGGGCGCCTCCGTGGGACGGTGAATCCAGCAGCCCCGCTCGGCAGCACGGGCTGGTCCCGTCTGCTCCTAGGAGAGGGTTTTGTGCGGGGCGACGCAACTGGGCACAGGGCAACGTGTCCAGAACCAGCGCAGAGGCACCCTGCGAGCGTGGGGATGCAGGAGGGAGGTGGAGCTGAGTACCATGTGCTGGGACAAGATAGAGATAAAAACCTTTTCTAGCCCTTGTTTCACTTGCTTTCAATGAGTGTTGAGATCTAGCTTGTGTCACCTGCATCTGCATTGACAGGCGCCTCTGTATCCTGAAGGGGATTTACCCCCATGAGCCCAAGCATAAGAAGAAGGTGAACAAGGGCTCCACTGCAGCCAGGACCTTCTACCTCCTCAAAGACATCAAGTTTCTCCTTCATGAGCCCATTGTCAACAAGTTCCGGGAGTATAAGGTATTTAGGGGGCACAAGAACTTTGGGGCTCGTGTCCAGGGGCTCTTGTGCCTGGGATGGGGTGATGGGATCTTCTCACTTCCAGGCCGTTGTCCCTTGCCCCCAGCTTTGGTTAACCGCTTGTGGCAGCAGAGCAGGGGTGTTTGGGGGCCTGGCTGTTACGAGCAGCTGGTGGCAGCCCCTCAGACCTGGAAGCTGTCCCCTCAGGAGCCTGTACAGCCCCCTGGGGAGGCGCTCACGCCCAAGGACTGCCTCTGTGCACCTCGCAAGGCTTCGCCTCCCTCCGTCGTTTCCCTGGAAGGGAGCCCTGAGTCCCCCCTCGTCTGCCCTGCAGGTGTTCGTCCGGAAGCTCCGGAAGGCCTATGGGAAGAGCGAGTGGAGCACCGTGGAGCGGCTGAAGGACAACAAGCCCAACTACAAACTTGACCACATTGTGAAGGAGAGGTGAGGCACTAGCCCTCGCTGCAGCTCAGCGTGGAGCAGGCCCAGGGAAAGGGTCCTCACGAAAGAGGGCTGTTATCAACAGTGAACTGGCCTGTAGCCCGTGGAGCCCGTGCTGTGTCCATCCGCCGTTAGGACTCCAGCTCCCACGGCAGCTCTGGGAATTGGTTGGCTGGTGAACGGGGTTTCGGAGCTCGTGGAGAAGGACCAGCAAGCTGCATGCTGGCTGTAGCAAAGCACGAGTGAGCCGGGAGCTGCTGGCCAGGAGCTTCCTGGTACCCGCAAGGGACGCTTCATCTCTGGGGCTCCTCTGGCTCAGAGGGCCGTGTGGGATGTAGATACTGTGCGGTGGCTCCAAGACCCCTTCCCTTCCTTTTAAGCAGTGTCCGGCGGCTCCTGCAGCTTTAAGCAGGTGCTGGTGGCTCTGTGGCTGAGTCTGTTTTTCCCTCTTCTTCTCCTGCCCTGGCGCAGGTACCCAACCTTCATCGACGCTGTGCGGGACCTGGACGATGCCCTCTCCATGTGCTTCCTCTTCTCCACCTTCCCGCGGACCGGCAAGTGCCACGTGCAGACCATCCAGCTGTGCCGGCGCCTCTCCGTGGAGTTCCTCAACTACGTCATTGCCTCCCGTTCCCTGCGCAAGGTGCGAGTCCGGGGGGCTGGGGGCAGGACCCCTGCCGGGGCGCTGTGGGGATGGGGCAGTGGCCTTGGAGCACAGAAGGACACAGGACCGGCTGGTCCTGGTGGCAAGAGCGGAAGGGTTTGAGTGTCCGTCTTGGATGTCCCCCAAACAAACCTGCTGGCTGTGGGGGCATCAGTGAGAGCAGCCCTTGGTGGGAGCGGGGCCAAGCGCTGCTGCGGGGTCCCCTGCATCTGAGCCCCTTCTCTGCCCCCGCCAGGTTTTCCTCTCCATCAAGGGCATCTACTACCAGGCTGAGGTGCTGGGACAGCCAGTCACCTGGATCACCCCCTACGCCTTCGCCCATGACGTGAGTAACCGTGTGCCTTGCTGTCCCCTTCCTGGCACTGGGGAAAGATCACGGGAGTGTCTAGCTGCTCACGCAGTGAAGAGAGAAGTTAGGCTGTGCCCAGGCTGAGGTGGGACGGCCAACTTGGGAGTCACGAGGGGCCACAGCCCAGGATGGCTGTGTCCTTGTCTCCTGTGCCTGGCTGTGCCAGCTTTCCCTGGTGCTTGTTTCCTCTTGCTGTCAATTATTAAATGTGCTTAGCTCAACAATTAAAGATTAACCTGCAGTAATGAGCCTCGTAGCCCTGAGGAAAGAAGCAAGGGAGACTCCACACCCTCCTTGCCAGGGTGGCTCTGTCCTACCTAGCAGGACTCATGCAGTTCTCCAGCAAGGCCACAGGGGCTCTGGGAGGCGTGGGATGAACTTTGCCAGGACAGGCTGCCACACCAGGGTCAGTGACACGAGCTTCCACCGCGATCGCTGTCTTGTCTGGTTCTGGGCTTGGCCAGGGGTGGCACAGTCAGGATGGAGCTTTGTGCCTTTCTGTACAGCCCAGAATTTCCCTCACAGTATCGCCTGAGCGAGCCTGTGTTTTTCCTGGCCAGCGTTACTTCTTACCCCCTTGGGTTTTGATTGTTAAGGCCCTGGCCAGATCCCTGCTTGGTTGAGCTCCGTTAGTCCTTGCCTGGCTCTTGTTCTGCTTTGCTAGTGGCCTGCAAAGCTGACCTGGGGAGCCAGAGTCTTTTACCAAGTCACACAAAGGCCAAGTTGTGGCCTGTTCCCTGGCTTCCCTGGGTGCTGCAGGGTTGTCTGGGGACACCTGGGCACCTGTCAGGGAGTGGGTGGCAGGGCCAGCTCCCCTCAGGGTCCCCATCCACCCTGGGATGTGCTGCTGCACCCAGCTGTGTAGCTGGGCAAGTTGAGGGCTGGCAGGACTTGTAGCAGGGTGGGCACAGGGAGGGATTCGGGCCTTGTGGGGCAAGGGGGGACGGGCACACGGCCCCTTGGGCAGCACAGAGACCCCTCCTGCCCAGGGCCTGGTGCTGGGCACGGGCATCTGCAGAGCTTATTGTGGAGAGGGCAGCATCCTCCCTTGCAGATGAGGACACAGATAGAGAACAACCTGTTCCATCTCAGCTCCAGATCAAGGAGTGAGTGAGGAGTGAGTGAGCAGCAGAGATCCAAGAGGCTTGGTGCTGCATGAGCTGCCAGGTCCCGTGCCCCAAGCTGGTGCCAGGAGGACGGGCCCTTGTCCCCACAGAGGGGCTCCAGCCCTTGGGCCTTGTACCCTAACGGCTCCTGCGTGTCTGCAGCACCCCACAGATGTGGACTACCGTGTCATGGCCACCTTCACGGAGTTCTACACCACCTTGCTGGGCTTCGTCAACTTCCGCCTCTACCACTCCCTCAACCTGCTCTACCCACCCAAGGTGAGTCCCTCACGGGCCACCCTGTGCTCGAGCCGCCCCACGCCTGCTCGGAGCCAGGAGGACCCGTGCCCGCCGGGGCCTGGTACAGTTGGCGGGGAGCATGCGCTGCCGGGGGGTCACGCTGGCCCTGGCACAGCGTGGCAGAGGGGAGGCTGCTTGGGCGCTCTGCGTCTGGGGGCTGTGTGCCAGGCTGCCTGTTTCTGCAGATCGAAGGCCAGGCGGAGGTTGAGCTGAAACCCGCGGAGGGCGAGGCGTACGCCATGGATTCGGAGAGCTACCTGGAGGTGAGGGGCACCTGCAGCGGCCAGGACCTGGCTAGCACCCAAGGGCCGCCGGCCTCTGCGTCCTCACCGTGGATCCTGTCCTGGCCGGGGACGCTGAGCGTGCGGGAGCTGCAGAGCAGAACCTGGTTCATGCAGGGTGAAGGGCTCTGCTTCCCAGCTCCCCGCATGCTGCCCCAGGGCAGATCCATGCTTATCCCTGAGAGCCATTGGTTTCTACCCTGTGTGACAGGGAGCTCTGGAGCTGCTGTGTTGGGGAGTGCGGGATAAGGCAGCACATGTAGGAGGCTGAACTCCCACGAGGGAGAGGAGCTCCTTTGATCCTTTGCTGCAGGGAATCACCCCGCCTTCCTCTGCGAGGCTGCCTTTTCTCCCGTCCTCAAAAAGCCATCTGGAGATGACACCTTCCTGTTCTCGCTCCTCTGCAGAAGCTCTCAGCCTTGAGTGCCAGCTTGACCCGTGTGGTGGCACCAACCCCGGAGGATGACGTGGAGATGGATGAGTTCCCCGTGGAGGGGGTAAGAGCCTGGCGAGGTGGCTCAGCCCTGGGCCTTGTCGCTCTGTGCACAGCGTGTTCTGTGGCTCAGCAGGAGGCCTCGTTCTTGAGCAGGGGCTGGCACTGCCTGGTATGGTGCTGGGAAGGACCGATGTGATCAGGAGGATGGGGAGCAGCGTCCAGGAGCCTTCCTGGCAGAAGGGGCTTGGCGGGGGCTGTGTATGGGGGAGAGAAGGTCCCCATGCAAGAGGCTCTGGCTTTGTTCTGAGCAGGAGACTGCTGAGCAGATGGATGCAAAGAAGAAGGAGCAGGAGGCCCTGGAGAAGCAGAAGAAGCTGTTTGAAGGGCTGCGCTTTTTCCTCAACAGAGAAGTGCCCCGAGAGCCGCTGGCCTTCGTCATCCGGTACGTGCGGGTGGGTTGTTCCTCTGCAGCCCTGCTCCCCCTTCCTGGATTTTTCCACTCTTTGTGATGGGGTCTGGGGCTTGTCTGCCTGATATCCTGCAAGCGAAGTGAACTTGGGGGCTCTTTCAGTTCAAGTAACCTCTTGGTGTGTTGTACTGGCAGGTGCTTTGGGGGCCAAGTGTCCTGGGACAAGTCTGTGTGCATCGGTGCCACCTACGATGTGAGTGACCCGTCTATCACGCACCAGATTGTTGACCGGCCCCGTGTGGAGCAGCAGGTTGTTGGCAGGTGAGTGAGGGCTGTCCCCAAAAAGGGGGCCTGGGCTGGTGAGCACACCTGGCTGTCCTGGAGCTGTCCCATGCTTCAGGACACGTTATGGTGGCATCCTGCTCTGCTGCCCTCTTGTAAGACCCCTGGGACCAGAGGAGATGGCCTGACCTGGCCCTGCGTTCCCTCTGCCCCACAGATACTACCTGCAGCCTCAGTGGGTTTTTGATTCTGTCAACGCCAAGCTGTGCCTCCCTGTCGCTGACTACTTCCCCGGCGTGCTGCTGCCCCCACACCTCTCGCCCTTCGTCACGGAGCAGGAAGGAGACTACATCCCTCCGGAGAAGCTGAAACTGCTGGCCATGCAGCGGGGCGAGCAGCCAGGTACCGGGAGGTGGCAGCCCCCATGGGCTGGAGAAGGCAGGGCCAGGACCTGCTGCCCAGGCAGAGCTGTACGTGCTGCTGTGCCAGGCTCTGGTCTACCTGTCACGGCCCCTGGCTGGTAAAACTGACCTCTCCATAGGTGAAGAGAGCGAGGAAGAGGAGGAGGAGGACAATGAGGAAGAGGAGGAGGAGGAAGAGGAGGAAGATGACTCTGAAAAGGAAGAAGAGACGAAATTGAAGAAGATGGAAGAGCAGAAGACTCAGAGCAAGGTACTGTGCCTGGCAGTGAGTTGGGAGCCCCAGGAGGAGGGCACTTTGGTGAGTGCTGTTGCTGCCAGGTTCTGCTGCCTGCCCGGCTTCCTGGCCCGTTCTGTGGGACTCCCGTGTGCTCCTGGCCAAAGCCAAGAGGGGCTGGACTGGGCTCTCAGAAGCCCAGGCTGGGTCCTGGGTGGCCTGTGCTCTGTGCCCAGCCTCTCACCAGGCTGTCTGAGCTCAGCCTGAGGCTGGGCCTACAGGGCAGGCCTGCCCAGGCCCTGAGGAGCCTGTCCCAGCCTCTGCCGGGAGCTGCCGCCCTTGCATGGGGGACACCCCTGCAGCCTCTTCAGCCTCTGTGTTGGAAAGAAGTGGCCCTTCCGATGGAGGGATACGTGTGGGCTCAGGAGACCCTCTGCCAAGCTGCAGAGCTTCCTGTTCTTGAAACACAGAACATGAGCAAAGTGAAACGCACCCCCCACCCCGGTGGGCTGGATGGCCTCCAAGGCAGCCCAGAATCCTGGGCATGATGCGGCTGAGGTGGCCCTTGGGCCTATTGCAGCTGCTGGTGCTCTCCTGCCCCTTACTCCTGTGTTGATGTGCTGGGACCATCATGGCTGCCCCGTGTTTGCAGCAGCTCTCGTGCAGCTGCCTCGTACACAGGGTGCCGTGCCCCTCCGCGGGGCAGGGCGCGGAGCACCCGTCTGTCCTGGGGGAGGGTGGGCTCTCAGCATCCACGTCCTGAGCTCTCCCGCTCCCGCAGGGACTCCCGGTGACGGTGACGGCCGGCAAGGTGCGGCTGGAGGACAAGCAGCGCCTGGAGCAGGAGCAGCAAAGCGAGGAGAAGCGCCTGGCCATCATGATGATGAAGAAGAGGGAGAAATACCTCTACAAGAAGATAATGTTTGGCAAGAAACGCAAAGTTCGAGAGGTACGTGCCGCCCTCCCATGGCAGTGATGCTCCGGCAGTTCTGGGCCACAAGACCTTTGCCTGCATCCTGCTCCCTTGCCTGTGTCAGCTCCTCCTGAGTCAGGTCGCAGCTGTGGCTAAACCCTGGTTTATCCCTTGGGGAGGGAACAGCCCCCGCTGAGGCGGGTGTGCCGTTCTCCGCTCTGGCTGTGGGAGGGAGGGGCCCCTGTGGCTGCACGCTCGGCTCCCTGCCCTCCCGTGAGACTCTGGACGGAGCTGAAGCCACCTGGAATGAGTCTTTAGGCAGTGGCCTGTAAACAGTGCAGGTGCCTGGGGGTTTCCAGCTCTGCCCTTTGCTGTTTCCCTCTCTGCCCCATGCCCACTTTTGTTTGATAATGAAGGCTGAGGCTCCTGAGGCCTCTTCCTGGGTGTGTCCCTGGCCATGGACTGGCCCTGGCCCCGGGCAGAACAGAGCTCTTGCTGCTCTCCTAGAGCTCCCCGCCTGCTTGGCGGGCTGCCACGTGCTGCTGCTTGTGCCCAGGCAGCTCAGTGCCCCAGGGCTGCTCTGGGAGTTGTTATCCTGCGCAGCAGGAGATGGGTCGACCTCCTCTAGGTACAGGGTGAACAGGTAGTGAGTCTAAGAGCAGAGAAGCCTTCAGCCTCTGCAGACTAATCTGACTGTGTGTCTTGGGGGTTTCTCCTCAGGCAAACAAACTCGCCGAGAAGAGAAAAGCCCACGATATGGCCATGAAAGAGGAGAAGAAGAAAAGCAAGAAGGCGCGACGGGCATGATGGCATCTCCAAGGCTCCCCTCGAGGGGAACAGCCCCATCCTCCACCTGCAGAGACTGGCTGCACCAGCCCTGGGCCTGCTTGCAGCCTCGCCAAACCTTGCAGAGACCATCTTGGATTTCGGTGGAAATCCCTCTGCTTTGCTCTTGGGACATAAATGCTAGATTAAAAAATGTTCCCTGTCTGTAAATACACCTCCTGCTGTGCCTTTCCCCAGGCCTCCCAGGTTGCCTCCACTCTCCTCTGCAAAGGCCTTCGCACAGCACGTGTCAGTGCTGCTGCCCCCCTGGCTCGTGCTGTGGGGTCAGCGTGACAGCCCTGACATGAGGAGTGTCATCTTGAAGCAGTCTGAGGAACGCGAGGAAGCCAAGGGCAGCTCCGTCTTCTTGAGCAGGGCCGTTCTGGATGGGTCATTGGATTTTCAGAGACGAGGGGCAGAGGGGAAGGCCTCGTGCCACAGCAGGAGTTTCCCGGCGAGTACCTGTGTTTGTTGGATGCTGCAGTGTTTCAATGCTGCAGTCGAGGGAGGCTCGGGGAAAACAGCAGCGCTCTTGCACCAGCCTTGGGGGAATGGAGCCTGCAGCAGAAGGGAGCCTTTTCTCTCCCTTAAAAAGCTGCTCCCCAGCATCTCTTAAGGCCTTTGCACGTCCCTTCGGTGACACAGCCTGTAAACAGTTTCTACTTCTATCAGACTTTTTTTTAAATAAAAAGCTGGCAGTTCCGCCATGGTCACTGGTGTCTGTTCGTGCGGGCTGGGGCAGGGCGCTGTGCCTGCTCGCGGTGACCTGCCTGCAGTGCTCTGGTTCTCCTTTCTTACTGCCCTTGCCCACGCATTGCTGCCTAGGTCGGTTTTGGCAGGGTCTTGTCTTGCGGCTGCCTTGGGGTGCTCAGGGCTGCCCCCTCTGCGCCAAGGCAGGGACTGCTGCTGGGAGTGGGGGTGTTCACCGTGCGCAGCCCCTCTCCCCTACAGCCGCCCGCTCTGTGATAACCCCCATTTCCCGCAGCAGCGGGACCCTGTGGGGACACGCTGGGCTGCCCGGGAGCCAGGCAAGCGCCTGCGGCGCTGCCCGCGTGCGTACCCTGGTCTCACACGTTTAACACAGTGGCTCTTGTGCCTGGCAGCCTGTGAAGCTGGTCCCAGCCGCAGGGTCCTGTCCAGGCAGAGAGCTGAACTGGGAATTCCTGGCGGCAGAAGTTCCTTGGGGACAGTTGTTTCCTCCCCATTACCCTTCTGGAGGCTCCCACGCTTCCTGCTTTGCAGCCCCCTCTTGCCTTTGTTGATAAATCACCTGCAGTGCAAATACTGGGAGAGGCTGTAGATAAGGCATTTAAGGGCGAAGAGGTTATTACAGGTACGTTGGTTATCAGCACTAAAATGTCTTGCTCTAAAGCCAAGTGATACATAGAAAAGCTGGGATTTTTTTTCCAGCCTGCTTTTTATGAGGCAATTTACTGCAGAGGCTTTCTAAGGCAGGACCACAGAATGGTTGAGGTTGGAAGGGGCCTCTAGGGATCATCCAGTCCAACCTCCTGCTCTACCAGGGACACCCAGAGCACGTGGCACAGGGTGGCATCCAGGCGAGTCTGGAAGATCTCCAGAGAAGGAGCCTCCACAGCCTCTCTGGGCAGCCTGTTCCAGGGCTCTGTCACCCTCACAGTCAAGAAGTTTTTCCTCACATGGAGATTAAACTTCCTGTGTTTCAATTTACACCCATTGCCCCTTGTCCTGTCAGAAGAGTTTGGCCCCATCTTCTTTACATTATCCCATCAGGTATTATACATATTGATGACATCTCCTTTCAATCTTCTCTAAGCTGAACAGACCCTGCTCGCTTAGTCTTTCCTAATAAGACAGATGTTCAAGTTGCTTAACCATCTTTGTTGCTCTGCGCTGGACCCTCTCTAGAAGCTCCATGTCCCTCTTGTCCTGGGGAGCCCAGACCTGCCCCCAACACTCCAGGTGCTTCCCCAGGGCTGAGCCGAGGGGCAGGATCCCCTCCCTCGCCCGCTGGCAATGCTCCTCCTGCTGCAGCCAGGAGCCCATTGGCCTTCTTGGCCACGAGGGCACATTGCTGCCTCCTGGGTGACTCGTTGTCAACCACGACTCCCAAATCCCTGTCTGTGGAGCTGCTTCCAGCCCCTAATCTGTGCTGGTGCCTGGGGTTATTCCTCTCCAGGTGCAGGACCCTGCACTTGTCCTTGTTGAACCTCGTGGGTTTCCTCTCTGCCCACCTCTCCAACCTGTCCAGGTCCCTCTGAATGGCAGCGCAGCCCTCGGGGGTGTCAGCCCTTCCGCTGTGTTTGGTGTCATCTGCAAACTTGCTGAGGGTGCGCTCTGTGCCCTCGTCCAAGCCATTGATGAACAAGTTGAACAGCACTGGGCCCACAATTGTCCCTGTGGGACACCACAGACCTCTAATAAGACTCAGACCATTGATCACAGCCCTCTGAGCTGCGCTATCCAGCCAGTCCTCAATCCACCTCACTGTTCACTCATCCAACCCACACTTCCTGATGTTGCGGAAGACAGTGTCAAAAGCCTTGCTAAAGTCAAGAGAGACAACATCCACAGCTCTCCCCTCATCCAGCCAGCAAGTCATCCCATCGTAGAAGACTATTAGGTTGGTCAAACATGACTTCCCTTAGTGAATCCATGCTGACTACTTCTTACCACCTTCTTTTTCCTTCATGTGCCTAGAGATGGTCTCTAGGATGAGCTGCTCCATCACCTTTCTAGGTGGAGGATGGAGGTGAGTCTGGCCGGCCTGTCGTTTCCTGGGTTCTCCTTCTTGCCCTTTTTGAAGGCCGGAGTGACGTTGGTTTCTTCCAGTCCTCCAAAATCTCCCCCGCCCTCCACAACCTCTCGAAGATGATGGAGAGCGGCTGAGCAATAACCCCCACCAGTTCCCTCAGCACTCTTGGGTGCATCCCATCTGCACCCATAGGTTTATGCATGTCTACTTTGCCTAAACAATCTCTAACCCAACCCTCCTCGGCCAGAGGGAAGTTTTCAGCAGAAAGACCAAGGCGGGGATGGGGATGGGAATGCTGCTGCCGAGTGTAAATCCCGGCAACCTGCTGCATGGTGTGTGGGAGCTACAGCGTTGCCTCCAGGTCACCCACCTGAGTGTGACAAGGGGGCTGAGCAGCTCCCAAAGCAGTTAGCAGAGGTAATTAAGGACAAGCAGCTTCATCCTTTCCTACCTCTGGGAGCTGCAGCTTTCCCTTGTCTTTTCTGCTGGCACTCGCCTCTGAAATGTGGGCAGAGCTTGATGCCTGAGGCTCTCCTAGCCCCAGATTCGCTCAACCTGCCCCTTTCGCTGGCTGCGTATCTGCTTGTCGAGGCAGCGCTGCGCCAAAGAGCAGAACTGCCCCAGGGGGTGACAGTCCTTGTTTAAAGCAGATTCAGCCAAGTGTCCCACCACGCTGCTTTTGCTTGGAGATGCTGGTGTCAGGACCGAGCTGCCTGGCCTGAACGAAGAGCAAGGGTTGCTACTAAGGGGGTTGAGTTATACAAGTGCTTCTCGGGGTTAAATTTTTAATCATGGAAAGGACTGTGTGAGGCTGCCAAGGTGGCTCACAGGAGCACCCTTGTGCTCCACTAAAATTCAGGAGATGGGAGTAGTTTTGCCCTGCTGTGACCCTGGAGCAGGCAGCAGGAAAGGGAAATATTGCAGAGGTTTTGAAATAAGGACTCTCAGCAAATCGGTCAAAGCAGGGAAGAAGAAAAAGGAGTCAGTGGTCTGTCTGGAGAGTCTCTGGCGCGGTACTGACCCTCTCCAGACCTGCGGGTGTTGAAAAGCTGGGCTTGGCCCCTGCAGACCCCAGTCTTGGAGACTCCCATCTTGGAGATGTCTTCACCAGCCCCTGAAGTAGAGGCACGTGGTTGAGGATCTCTATCCTCATGGGTAGAGATTCCACCTTGGATCTTTCCACAGAGGAAAGATGCTGCTTGAAGGTGGCTCCTGCAGTTCAGGCAGCTTCCAGCTGGGTGGCTTCCAGCAAAGAGACAAGTGATTTTCTGGCCACGTTAGTCTTGTTACTCCAGGTCTCCGGGCAGCTGAAGTGACATCAAGGCCCAGAAGGACGCATGCTCTTCTGCCTATCTTGCCCCTTCCCCTTGTGCAGCACAAGAGCCTTGTGCTGGTGTTAGTGACCGCACAACCACCCAGAGGAACCCATTGAGAGCGGGTTGAAATCAGAGCCCAGGCTTCGTTCAGGGGCCGCCGTGGAGGCTGGGGGCCGATTTTCTGGGGAATTCTGCCCTGGGCACTGGCAAGCAGGACCACGGGTGGGTCTGAGGCACCTGAGCCGTGTCCGCAGCATGGGCACTTCTTCCAGCAGTACCCGGGTGTCAGGCGGTGGCTTGGGCCGCACTCGCTCATCTGCCCCTGACCGAGCACCCCGGCGTGCTGGGGCAACCTGCTGATCCCTGGTGGTTCTGCCCCTTCCCATGGCTGGTGCCACCAGCGGGCAGTGACGCTGGTCCCAGGGAGCGGCCTGGCTCCGCCCGGCCCTGCTGAGGCGCCGG